CTGGTTTTACCATGTCAGTCGCGGGCCCTAGGATGGCCTCGTTAGCAAGCCAATTTGGGATATTGTGCTTCGCCGCGTCCTCCGTCCACGCGGAACACGCGACCGACCCAAGACCATTTCTGTGCGCCTCTGGCTACCCTTGTATACCCAGTCTGCTTTTCCGCGCAGGCCAGCCACTTCTCTCTAGCTTCAGAAAAAGCCCGAGGACGACGAGTGAACGAGGGAGAAGAGGAGGAAACCGAGGCCGAGGGGGAAGTAACGACGGCCACAACGCGCAGACACGACAATGCGGGAGAAAGGATAAGGGAGAGAAGACGAAATAACGAAGAGTCAAGACGAAATGAGGCAAACGACGAGAGAAGAAACGGGCCTCAGCGTCACCGCGAACCACTGGCAAGTGCGACTCCTGTATGTCGAGTTGTGGCTCCTGCGCGCTGGACGCACCTGCAGTCAAGCGCAACGCCGAACAGGACTGACAAAAAGCGACAATGTGTTCGTACTCCGCACAAGCGCCGCTGGTACACGCACCGAAGAAGGTACAACAGCAGTGAGAAGGCCGAGAACGAGAACATGACAGCGCCGCCTGCGGATAAGACAACGCCGAATGTAGCACCACAACGCCGGATGTGTACTCTAAGTGTCGCACGCTGCGGGCGCACGCCGCGCTGCATAGCTGGCCACCAGTCGCGCGCCACGTCGGCAAGGCGGCGAGCTCGGGAACGACCCACTCGAGGAAGACTATGTGTGGACACGCTGCGTCGCGAGGGCGGCGGCCCCGCCAGCAGCCCCAGGGGGGCGGTCCAGGACCTCGACCACGGCCGGGCGTGGGGGAGGGAGCTGCACGGCCCGCACAGAGGGCACCGGGCGGTGCAGCCACGGTGCAGCCAAGAGGCGGCGCATGCCGGCGATGCCGGGCGGCCCGCGCAAGAGCGGGCCGGCGAGAGCGGCACCACCGAGCAGTGTGGCGACTCCGGGGCGGCTCGTGCAGAACGGCCTGGGCTTCGTGTACCCAGAGTCTGCGCATGGTCCCACGCCCTGCTCGTAGTCCAGGCGCCCACTCATGCCGCAGCTCTTTTGGCGAGCGCTTGGAGCGGCGGATCCAGCCCAACATCTTGGTCTGTGCGGCCTTCTGCAAACGGATCTCTGCCACGGGCGGCGTCGAAGGCCTCGAGCCGTACAGAGCGCACCCGCCGAGCCACGGGCCAAATCACCGAAACCTGCACGGTGCGGGGCCGCTCTAGTTGAACAACATCTTCCCATCTCCCAGAACTTCTGGCAGGCTGTCGGCCGTCGCCACTGAGTGCTCGATGTTTCCAATCGTCGCGCCATGCAAAAATGGGGACACCCAATACCGCTGCGCCACGGCCCTCTCCTGGGGTGCGTTCTGACAAGGATTTCGAGACGAATCCAGCGGAGGCGACAAGGGCCTCCCAGGAGGCCGAAAAAGAGGAGCACAAGGGAAAGGCAGCGGTATGGAAACCTCCTCGTCCTCTGAAACAAGGAGCATCGCGCCTAGCGTTCTCGTAGGCTCGTCCGCCTCCAGCACCTTCTGCGAGAGAAGCATTCCTCCCTTTCGACGTCCGCCCTCCGCGCATTTCCGCTGGCCAGCTCGCCTGTGCCATGCGTCTCGTCGGCTGCAGTCTAAGACACCTCCTCCTGCAAGGCATCCTTGAGCAGTAGTCGGCGGCGAGCGAGGGGGAGAAAGAGAAGGCCCTCTGAGAATGCGGCGGGGCTGCTCAGAGGCCCTGTGTCTTCGGGGAAAACTTTAAACAACTGCTCAGAAGGCCCATCCCCTTTGGCTTCCCCTCCAAGCTGGACGCAACAATACGACCATGCGTTTGAGCGATGTCGGCATCCGCGAAAACGAATCATGACATCTGCAACGACCACGCGCGCGAGGCGCGGTCCGTCCAGTGCCTGGCCGACTGTGAATCATGCCACAGCGGCAGCGCCGCCAGACTGGGTTCACCTCGCCAGGCTGTGGACCATGACCAGGCTGATCAAGACGGGCTGCCCAGGGTCTCCCAGCCGAATTCCCCCGTTGCACCTGAATGTGCGTGAACCTGAAGGCTGGGCGAGGAGGTGGAGAGAGGTGGAGGAGGAAGGCCCAGCGAGCCGCCCAGAGGTGTAGAGAGAGGGGTCCAGAGTTCAGCGCCAACCCAAGAGATCTGCGCAGACCTCTTGAAATTCAATGTCGTATGGTTTGCGCCATCTACGGGTTGCGCTTTGGGATGCGCCATGCTCTGACCATGCTAGACGTTAGCCGACGCTAAGTCGACGCTCAATCGAAGCTCATCGATGCGAATCGACGCTAAATCGGCGCTACCCAATCGATTACCAAACGCTCACCGACGCTGAGGCACTCTAAAACCGGAATTGCGAGGCCAAGCAAGGCTCCCATGATTGGGAACACGACATGTGTACACCACCTCACAAACAAGCTGGTCCGGCACAAGGCAATGGAAAGGGGGTTATGTACAACAAAATGGCATCCCCTGGAGACGCGATGCTTGCACACCGCCCCGACGGACAAGCTGATCGGGAACGACGTGCGCGCGCGGGGGCAGTGGCCATACATCTTCCGACCACGATTTGCTACCTCACTAACACCCCATTCAAGTCACGCCCACTACCACCCGCCCGATCTTCGAGGTGCGCCATGGGTTGAGAACTCGGCTGCCGAATCATATGCCATGGCAATACTGCTAAGTGATTGCGTCCTTGGTTGCGCACCCGGCGGCCGGTTGCAAAACGGCCTGCTGTTGGTTGCGCCCTGGGCTGCGTACTCGGCGGTCGAGACCACAACCGCAGGCTAGTGGTTGCCCCACAGGTGGCGCACTCGGCGATCGAGGACAAAACGGCCTGCCGTCGGTTGCACCATGGGTTCTGCACTCGGCGGCGGAGCACAAAGCCGCCAGTGCTTTCGCCAGCTACGTGGGTTGCGCACTCGGCGGCCGAGAAGGATCGGTTGCGCCGAAGGGAAGGTTGCGCACAACGCGGCCGATGACCAAGCTGCCTGCGATTGGTTGCCCAATAGCAGGCATACCCGTTAGCCGAAACACGCAATTCCCTGCTAATCGGTGCGACCATTCAATCAGTCAGTCGGTCAGTCAGGAAATCCCATGCGCCTCGCGAAACAAAAAAAACTCTGGCTATGACAGAAACATATCAGACGGTTAATCCCTGGAAGTCGGCAAGTCCGTCAAGTGTATCGGGCGACGAGGCGGTTCCAGTGTGCTCAGGAGCGCTGAAAGAAGGCCCTGGAACGTGTTGATCGTATATTGTGTCTGCCTGATTGAGAATAAGGCGCTCTATTGCCGCCGCGTCTCCTTTCTGTCTTTCCTTCATCTCTCTCCCCGTTGATCTCTCCACCAGCTACCTCGCCCCCATCCTTGCAAGTCGTTATCCATCATTCCTCCTTCTTGTCGTCCGCTCCTCCTCCCATGCCTGTGTCTGCCCAGAGGCGCAACTCCACCAGGACCCCGTCTCCGCGGCCACACCGCATAGCCACCATGTCGCATTCCCCGCCCATCAAGGTACGGGGACTGGCGAGCGTTCTACCACCCAAGAAAACGTAGGCACCGGGGGAATACCAATGCAGCGAACTGATCGCAAGCACGCCTTGGCGCAGCACTTCATGGCTGCCAGACAACAGCAACATCGGAAACCTGAAACGGCGAGCGGTCTTCATCGCTAGCACCACGGCGCTGCAACAGCGTGCCATTAACTTTGCGCAAGTCAGTTTCTACCATCCAAGAACAGTTTAGCCCTCAGCTGGACGAGTTCCGGCGAATTTAGCCCGCATGGAACGGCCCGCAACAGGCGTTCCGTCCGACCACCTCTATCGGGGTCGCTCTCCAGACCGGTTTGCAGGCGAACCTCGAAGCTCACCGCTAGCACACCAATGTTTGTCTTTCCTCTCTCGTGTGCGCTGCGCGAATATCCGACAACCGTTCCGCGGCGTTCGACTGGGCCGCCCGGGGTTGCCCCAAGGCGGCACCAAGGTTCACTGAGGTGCCGAGGCGCGCAAGCCAAAACGCGCTTGAAGCCGACGCCTTTCGCTCGGGTGCGCAAGCGATGGTTCATTCCAGCTTGTGGTTAACGAATCCGTTGGGATCGCCCTTAACAAATCGTCCCCATGCTCGGGCGAATCGCGGGGTGGCGTCCGCCAGATTGAAAATCAACGAGGTGGCGCTGGTGATTGGCGCTGACGCCCGGCCGCCAACGAGGGGCAAGAGGGGGTGTTTGGAGACAAGGGCGAGCCAGGGCGCCACTCTTTCTGTCGAGCCGATGCGAGCCTGCGGGCAAGGCGGGCTAGCTGCGCCGCGTAGCAGGCTTTGTACCCCCCCTTTCCTTCTCCAGCCTTGCGTCCGACCCGAGCAAGGCGGGTAGTCCTCCTCCTCCTCCTCCTCCTCCTCCTCCCTCTCCTGCTCATCTTCCTCGTCCTCCTCCTCCTCCTTCTCCTCCTCATCCTTCTTCTCCTCCCTCCCCCTCCTCTCTCCTCTCTCCTCCTCCCGCCTGGCGCACGTGATCAAAAAAAATCGCGCCACGCGGGGTCTATTCATCAGCACCGGGGGGAGGGGGGGGGGTCTGGTCACTTGTTAATCACACGCTGACCTTACCATGCCCGAAACGCCACAGACCCGTTTTCTTTCAGTCGGGGACCCCTTTAGTCCGCGCCATGGGGGAGGGTGTTTTTCCTCGCCCCTGTTCGATCTGCGGCACCTCCCGCCAATGTGAGGCAGGCCTGAGCGGCAGTCGAGACCTGCTAATCCTGGACGAACTGCCGTCCGAACTGTTGCGCTCTCTCTCTCTCTCTCTCTACCTCTCTCTTTCTTTCTCTCCCCCTCTCTCTCTCTTTCTCTCTCCCTACTCCTTCTCTTGAATTGTATACCTTCCATCTGCATATCACCCGACCCCTCTACCACCGCCTCCGCCCTTCCTCGTCATGATCCCCTTCTGCGCCTCCCCTCTCACACCTGCCCATCTCCCAGCGGTGCCAAGTAGACGAAGATGGCTACGAGCAGCACGTGGGCCCCCCTCGGGCGGACGTCCGTGCTTGGACGTCGCAGGGCACAGGGGGAGGCGGAGTGCGAGGGAGGGGGGCAGAGGAACATGGGGAGAGAAGAGAGGGGAGGAGGGAAAAGGACAACGGGGAAGGAGGGGGAGGAGGAGGAGCTTAAGGAGGAAGAGGAAGTGGGAGGATGGCGACGAGGGAAGGAGGAGCATGGTGGAGGAGGAGGAGGAGGAGGAGGAGGAGGAGGAGGAGGAGGAGGAGGAGGAGGAGGAGGAGGAGGAGGAGGAGGAGCATGGTGGAGGAGGAGGAGGAGGAGGAAGAGGGGGAGGGTGGACAAGGGGGAGGAGAGGGAGGGGGGGGGGAACAGAAGGAATGCGAGGGGGGGGGCTCGGAGGAGGAGGAGAAGTGGCATGGAGGCGGGGCACTTCAGTCAGGGGGGCGTAAGACCCGGGTACAGGGGACTAGGAAATCCCCGACGAGGTCGTCAAAAAAATGACGAGGCCGAGCCTGCATTTTGACGAGGCCTCCCGCTGCAGACATCCCACGAAACTCCTCCTCGTCAAAGTCCGAGTCGCGGTCGTCAAAAAACGATGGCGAACCCGAGTCCCGGCAAACCCGGGTCTTACGCTCCCCCGATTCAGGGGTAACTCCATCAAGCGTATGAATATACGGTGCTTCGCGAGAGGGCGAGCCACGAGGTAGCCCTGGATGGTGGCATGCAAACAAGGGCCCCTGCTTCGCACGAACGAAACGGGTCAGGGAGAGAAAGAGTGCCACTGGTGCTTGTTCGTGTTCGGGACCCTGGGAACCTCCAGGGGTGCGGACCCTTCAAAGCGCCTCGGGATGAAGAACTGGTCCTGGGGAAAGCCTTGGAGTCCAAAACCTTTTTCCCTCAGGACCCCTCCAGTGGTGATCTGTTCCTGACGGGGCAAAACGGCACCGCTCTTCCCCCAGGGCTGCTGGCAGGCTGGTTCCTCCGAGCCCGTTGCTTGGGACAACATGACAGCCTGCCCCGGCTCGCCCTCGACCTCGATCGATCGAAACCCTCGCCGCCGGCGAGCCAGTGTATGGCGTGAACGACGTCGACAGCATCGAAACAATCGAAGATCGTGCGCGTCAGGAGCTGACTTCCGGCACGCTTTCCACCAGAAGGCTTCGCAGGAAGCCCCGCCGCTCGCCAGAGAGACCGTGTCCCCGAGGTCGGCCCCGCCTCGCCCGTCGCGCCGCTACCTGAAGACAGCCCAACACGGAATCGGGCCCCGAGCCGTTTTGTTAGGACGACCCCGCGGCCCTGCAAGTAGGGGAACGAACTCTATACACCGACGCGTTTCCCGGCCCTGCGCTGAAATTCGCACAGGAACGCGGATTCTGGTGTATACGGGATCCTGGTGTATACATGTGTCGCTGTTTCCCCTGGAAAGCGGGGGAAAAGTATACACCACACCACCCCGACGTCGTCCCTGACCCCGAACAAGGCGTGGGATTGAAAAACTACCCTCCGCTGGTAGGGTGTATGTTCCAGTCTGCGAGGGGCTCCCCAGGGGCCGGAGGAGCCGCCCCCCCCGAAGGGTGGCGCGGTCGTGCGTGTGCTCCACGGCGCGAGGCGGGTCTGGGGAGGCTCGGAGCGGACGGACGTGAAGGGGCCTTGGGATACACAGATAAATACACACAAATAACAGGATCCCCCATATTTTCCCATGTTTTCGTCTTCCCCCCCACTTCCCATATCTTCCCATTCTTTCGGGGGAATCGACGATTCATTGTGTCTGTGTGTTCTTTTTCCTCCTGAGAGAGGGGGCATTGGAAAGGGCGGGCGCGAGAACTGCGGCATGCAGCTGGCCCCCACTGCGGGCTCGGATCAGCAGACGCGCAACTCGGCCTCTCAAGCCTCCAGCTCCGGCAGGCCGTGCGCGAGCTGGACCGGCACAGGGTCGGCCCACACATTGCCAGCTCAGGATGTCTGGGGCTCGCCGATGTTGGCCTCTCTTGGGGGTCCACTCTGGCTTCCGTCGGCTTCCGCCATGCATCCTCCAGGCGAACCACACCATTAGTTTAATCTACTATTTTAAGGTCGGGCCTGTCCCTCTACAGGGGGGATTTTGGACGAACAAAAAAATCAAATACGGACAAATTAACAAACATTATGTTTAGAAAGCGCCCCCCATACTACTTTTAACATATGTTTTGAGATTCCTCCTGTAGAGGGAGAGGCCGACTTGATGCTATTTGAAGGTCCGCGCGCTGGACCCGCTTCCCTGCCCTGCGGAGGCGCGCCAAAGGCGGCGCCGGAGGCGCCGCCAGGGGGCCTCCAGCGTCGCTCCGAGAAAGCCGCACCGACGTCCGAAAAAATTCTGCCGGGACTGTCCCACCGACGCCTTTTTCCTGGCCCTGCACTGAAACTCTCACAAGAAAGCTATTTCCACGGGAAAGCGGGGAAAGAAGTGTACACCACACCACCCCGACGTCGTCCCCGAACCACAAAAGAAGTCCTGGGATTGAGAAGCCGCCCGCCACTGGTACTGTATATGCTCCAGTGTCCGACACTGCTCTCCGACTGCTCCCGCGAACTTCCGCGGGGCCTCCCCGCCGAGGGGGAGCGGGCGAGCTCTGGCGGCGCGCACAGGGAGGTTTTGCCCCGACACGGCGCCCCGCGACGCGCGCGGCGCCGGGCCTGCGCCGACACGGCGCGGCCCGCCGGGGGGGGGGGAGGGGGGACGCCGCCGCCCCATGTGGCCCGCCCGCGCGGCGTGCCGCGCCCCTCTGCGGGGGGGGGGGGTCGAGGCATGCTCGTCTCGCGACGACGCCGGCCTCGGCTTCTGACGCCGCGCAGGGTCGCTCGCCCCGCCCGCGCGGCGCGACGGGGCGCGACCAGCTTCGCGCCCCTGCGGGGGGGGGGACCTGCAGTCGCGACGCTGAAGGAAGGACCGCGCTGGGTGCAGGAGGTGTGTTTCAGGTGTCCAAGCCGCTCCTTTTGTTTTCCGCCCGGCAACGATGACACTACGATTTCAGAGCGCTGTAGATCACCACAGCGAGGCTGCGCCACCGCGTGTAACGGAGGAGCGTCTGGCAAGCACGCGAGGAACACGCCAGAGTGAAAGGGAGAAGGAGAAGAAGGAACAGCAAGGAACAAGCAAAGGGAGTGCACAGCTCGTGCATGCGTCAGCGACCCCAGGCCGCTCCCCGGGTTCCTGCCGTGGGACCAGTCTGTGGCCGAGGCCAGCCGCTCCGCTCGTGCCCCTGCGGTGGCAGCGCGCTGGCTGTGTGGCGTGTGTTCGTCTCGTGGCGTCGGCCCTGGCCTCTGACACCGCGAGGGTCGCCCCCCCCCTGGAATGGGGGGGGGTGCAAATCATGACCGGCGGCACGTGCGCGGCCCAGCGGGGGGGCCAGGGACGTAATGAAATAAGAAGAGGCACCATGAAATCTGGGGAACTATCATGGCCCACGCCATGATTCCCCCCCCCTAGTCCGCCGACCCCTTGTGGGTCTCTAGGCGTGTGAGATAGTTAACCCCCCCTGGGACCCCAAACCGGAGATTCGACCCCCCCCCCGGGCCCACGACGAGCGCATCACGGGGCTCTTTTGGGCCCAAAAGGGAATCAAGACGGGCCAAGAAGGCCCCAAGACTCCTCCAATACGGCTCACGAGAGCTCCGAGGCGCCAAACGAGCGCCCCCAGACGCCCAAGATGGCCCCAAGGCGAACCTAGAGGCCTCCAAGACGGCCCAAGAGGCCTGGCCTCCAAGAGCAGTCCTCAGAAGGGCCGAAGCGCCGAAAATCGTCAAATTCCTATGGGAAAGCGTACATTTAGATCATATACTACTTGTCGGCCTTCACGGCGTTGAAGACGGTCCCAGAGCACCCCAAGACCGCCCCAAGAGGCCCCCAAGAGGCGCCCAAGTCGGCCCGAGAGGGCGCCAAGACGGCCCAAGAGGCCCCCAAGACAGCCCAAGAGGGCCCCAAGACGGCCCCAAGAGGTGCCCAAGAGGGGGGGCCCGAACCGACAATCCGAGCCTTCCGCCCCAAGACGGCCCCAGAAGGCCCCAAGAGGCCCCAAGAGGCCCCCAAGAGGCCCCCAAGAAGCCCCCAAGAGGCTCCAAAACGGCCTCCAAACGGCCCCCAAGAGGCTTCGAAACTGCCTCCAAGCGTCCTGCGAGAAGCCCCCCAAGAGATCCCAACGATCACCGCACAAGTCTCATATCAACAACCCAGGCACGGTGGCGGGGTTGCGTTTGCGCACAAAAAAAGATTCGCGCTCTCGAGGCCAAGATTGCTCCAAGACGGCCCAGGATGGCTCCAAAACGGCCCAAGATGGCTCCAAAACGGCCGAAGACAGATCGAAGACGGCCCAAGATGGCCTCAAGATGGCCTACAAGGCTTTCACGATCGCCGACGAAGTCTCCATTTCCATTGCGTTGTTGAACATGTTTGCAATTGTTGCCTTTCCCGGCTTCCGTTGGCTCACGTAGCCCAAAGAGCCTCCAAGATCGCCCCACGGCGCCCCAAGAGGGCCGCAAGACGGCCCCAGAAAATCCCAACACGGCCCAGGACGCCTCCCAATTCGGCCTAAGACGACCCCAAGACGGCAAAACCTGTCTCCAAATTGGTCCCAAGCTGGTGCAAGACGCCTCTAACCCAAAACCCATAACCCAGAGCCTTGTTTCTGTGTCCCCTTCCTCCTTCTCCTCCTCCTCCTCCTCCTCCTCCACCTCGGCCGCCAGGTGGGTTCAAAACTGCTTTCCAGAGGTCCCCGAGAGGCGTGCCGCGAGATCCCTATACACATACAAAAAACCTCTAATCCATAGCACATATCCCAGAGTTTCGTCTCTGTGTCCCCGTCCTCCTCCCCCTCTCCTCCTCCTCCTCCTCCACCTCCTAATCGCCCACTCCTCCTCTTCCTCCCCCGCCTCATCCTCTTCCTCCCCGGTCCTTCTCCCTCCATCCTCCGCCTCACCCCCATCCCTCTCTCCCCCTCCCCCCTGTCCTCCCCCGCACGCGCGCCCCCGATTGGGCATCATTTGCAGGTCTTGCATATCAGGGTGCCCTTTTTTTGCATCGCGTGCGACGTTGGCAGGGTCTCCGGAGAACGCCGACTTCGGTAGTCTTCGCTTGCACGCGCCGCCGCACTGATACGCCTGGCAACTGCGGGCTGTGAACCCGAGGTTCTTGCAGCCTCCGCGCACCACTTTCGCTCCTTTCGCCGCTCGGTGATCTTCCACTTGCTTATGCTTCACATGTTTCGTGTCCGAGAACGCTTCTCCGCGCGCCGCACACGTCAGTGGCTTCGCGTCCGCCTCGGCTTTCCGCTTGCGATTCGCTGCCTCCGCGTTCCCCCGTCGCACCTCTTTCTCTCGTTCTTCCGCGCATTTCCCACAGAGCCTTTCCCCCGCAGCATTGTGCTTCTTCTGAGCTTCCGACATATCCGCCTTTTCGTCATATAGCGACAGGCACTTACCGTTCGTACATCGCACTGTTCCGACGCTCTGATTCCACTTCGCGCTGTCTTTCCGCGAGTTCTGCTCGGCTTTGATACCGCTGCACTTGGCGCAGTACATTGTCCTAACCCTTTTCGTTTCCCCGTCGTCGGCCGCCGCGTCCGCGTTCCGACCGCTACCATGGCGTGCCGCGTCGTCACTCTCTCCTCTCGTTGCCCACCCTCTGCGCGTCTTGCACCATTTCTCGCCCGCGCTTTTCATCTCCTCCGTGCAACTCTTTGCAGAACGCCGGCCTTTCCTTTCTCTGGAACTCGTACTTCGCGAACGCCTCTACCAACAACCTCCGCCGGCAGCGCTCGCACTGGTCTCGTGGCATTAGTTCCTCTTCCCACCCATCCCACTCCACTGTCTCCCCGCGAAGCACCTGCAACAACTTCTTTGCGCCTGGCATCTCCCCCGCGTTGCGCGGCTTCCTATCGAAAGGCCTGAAAATCAACGAGCCCCCCCGCCTCCGCACGCGTGCGATGGCAACGTAACTTGCCATCCAACTCACGCCGCGCCCTCTTTCAAGGTCTGCTATCACTGCAGCCATGGTCCGGCCCTGCGCAGAGTGCGCCGTCGCTGCCAAAGCCGGGGTGATCATAAACTGCGTGCGCTTCACACTCAATACTGGATGCTTCCGATATCCGTCCAAGAACCATTTCCGCCCTTTCGATGGGAAGATCGGATGCAGCCCCGACCCCCACCCTGGCAGGTGCCACTCTTTCGTATGGAAGTCCAACACAATCACTCTCGGCAGATGCATCAATACTTCCTCGTCGCCGTCTCGAACGACCTCATCCTCGTGCAACGCCCATCCATGGATCGTCGCCGTGCGCCCCCGCAGAAGCTGCTTCTTTGACCGATCCAAGCGATCTCCCAAAGCCACGGGCACCCCCTTCGCCAACGGCAGCCACCCGGGCAAGCTTGCGCATTCCTTCTCGTGGTACCCCAGCCAACGTATATTGTCCTCTATCGTGTAGGGGCTGCATATCAGAAGGGCTCTGGCCTCTTCTCCTTCCCTGCGCGGAACTCGCGAACTCTTGCGCCAACACTCGATCTGGCACCTTCTCAACGACGCTCCGTTGTCTCTCATTCAGTCCGCTCTTTGCAAGACCGGTTCTCCACTCCCGCACGCTCGACGCCGTCGCTTTTTTGGCCGTGACCACTTCCGGAGCACCTTCCGCTGCCCCGGCGCCGCCTCCTCCTGCCGCCCTCGGCGCCGCGGCCATCGCTTGCGCTCTTTTCACTGCCGCGTCATCCCACCTCAACGCGCCGTCCTCTCCGTGCTTTTTGCGCTTTCCGTTCTTTCGACTCGTCATCTCGCCCCAAACGGCGTCGCCCCTGGCCATGGCCTCCCGGCTCTTCTCCTTCTCGCACTCCGCGTCTACATTGGTCCGCCCGCCCTCTTTCTCCATGGGCGCGCCTCCCGCGCGCGTCTTCCGCATAGTCGCCGCGTCGACAATTCGCGGATCCAGTTCTTCATCGCTGCGCAGCTCGTCTTCGCCTTTGACTAGATCTTCGTCCGTGACTGGTCGCATATCCACCGCGCCCATGTAGTTCTGCACGTACCTCCTTGTTTCTTCGCATGGCATGCCTTTCCTCAACCATTCCAAAGACGCCTCCGCCCATGACCCCTGCTCTCCGCGGAACTCTCGCAGGTGTGGTACTCCACAGTCGGCCCCCGCGGACTCCTCATCGTCGCGAAGTGTGAAGGCCCGGAAATATACCATCAACAACAGCCCGTTCCTATCCTCCTGCCCCGCTCCGTCTTTCGGCTGCGGCGTCCCATGAGAGCTGGGGTTTCTCGGGCGCTCGTTTCGCACCAGCGCCCGCGCGTGCCTCACTGTTTCGAGCTCAGGAACATCTGGAAACGGGACCCACGAATAACTCCCCCATCCTGCCTTGATCACATAATCCACTCCGGCTTTCATCTGGGGTCCGGGCAGCGCGCCGCCTTCGTCAGCATCCGCTCTCTGCTCGTCTGCTTCGCGGACCTTCTGAATCCCGGACTTCGTCAGCTCCGCCTGGTAATCATTGCTGGCCGCGGCTGCCGGCTCTGCTCCGCCGCGGGGAAACGCTGCCAACTCGATGCGCCAATATGGCAAGAACTCACACAACAATAAGTGCGCCAAGTCCGGCGCACCAGGAGCGTCAACCGGGCGCATGCCATACAAGTACACTGGACTCTTAGACACAATTCGAACCTTTTTCGGCCCTTCTCGTTTGTCTGCTTCCAGAATCCCCGACGCTGCTACGGTTACGCCGTCCCCGTCAGCACAGAGCCGTTCCGCCATGCGCACGGCTTGTGCTCCCGGGATCATGGCTGTCTTCGCAGTCTTGATACTCTCGGCACCAGTCGCGTCTCTGGGGTCTCGGCACGCGCGCAGATTCGCACTTTCCTGCGCTGACCGCACCACACCTCTCCCGTACATGTCACTCAGAAACCTCTTCATGTGCCTGTTCGCTCGGTGCGCCGCGGTCCTGTCTTTCGTCTGCTCCGCCAGCGCGCGGTGGCCCTTTTTGATCTCCCTCACCTCGTTGAGACGGGGCACACCGCTTGCACTGATAGTCCGCCGCATACCCCGCTGCTGCATTCTGCGCTCGCTGCGCTGCCTGAACCATGTCTATGGGTCGATCCGTCCCCCAGCGCCGCTCTTCGCACGCGCAACTATCATGCGTCGCTTCCGTCGCTGGGAACCTGTGCGGGATCTGCAAGTCGCTGTTGAAATTCAATCCTACCGCGCCGCTTAGCATCGCTGGTAGCGTGCCGTTCAGGTTCTCCTCGTTCATGGGCCCGTGCAAGCACCCTGTCATGCCCCTCCTCCCTGCTCGCGGCGCGTCACGGTTTTTCAAAAAACCTTGGCACAACACCATTGCGCGATCTATGAGCCACGTCGTGCGCGGGAAAAAGCTTTTGCACTGCGTCATGTCGTCTTTCCTCTGACAATGTGCCAACGGTACCACGCACTGCAAACGCTTGCTCCACTGGCGCACGTGGTTCTGTCGAAACTCCTGCCCCTTTTGCACCCAGACGCCGAGGTACTCTTGCAGCCAGGTTCGCCCTTCCTCGTTGCCCTTGTCTCCCTCTTCTGTTATCCCACTCCGGCTCGCTGATTCCCTCCCGCCGACTTCCGTTTCTTCCAACCCATTCGTCTGGCCGCTGTGTAAGTACCCCGGCGCTGCGACCAGCTCTGTCGTCTCGTGGTACGTGGGCCATGCCTTCTCTGCTTCCGCTTTCCTGCCCCTTTTCCAGCCTTCTACGTCAGCGTACTCTTGACGACTCGATGATAATGATGATGATGATGCTGATGATGATGATGGCGACGGTAATGATGATGATGATGGTGGTGATGATGATGATGACGGAACGCCCCGTGAGGACGCGGGGGAACACCAACCGAACCACCGCTTCGGCCGCACGTAGCGTCCTAGCTCAGCCCCCGTAGGTCACGCGATGGCCTCGGGCTCGTAACGTGTCTGGACCTAGCAATGCGAAACAAACCGCGAACACCTTCTCGGTTCCCAAGCGTGTGAGACTCGTCCCCTCCGCAGCCCCGAGGTTCCCCGTGCGGGCTGAGGGATGCCCCCAAAAACAACCCCGCCTCACCAAAAAAATCAAACCCAGCAAGAAATATACGGGCCCCAATCCAACGCTTCCACCCTTTGGGCATCTCCAGAACGATGCCAAGATTGCATTAGCGTCCTTTCTTTTCCGATGGGCCCCCCGGGGCCTCGAGATGACCCCAAGCGGATTCCACATGGCCCCAAGAGAGGTCATTATGGACCCATACACGACTCCCCAGCCCGACTCAAGCGAGCCGGCAAGACCGCCAAGATGAGGGGTCGGCGGATGTGGCGTAAGCCTATAGAATCATCACCCCCCTCTTTTCCGCCCCCGATCTCCGATAGCGTGGGATGTCGGCCCATTCCAGGCTACTGGCGGCGGTCAGCCTTGAACGCCCGCGCCGGGGTCCCCGCTGCGTCCACGCGGCGCGAACCTGCCGCAATGAAGGCCTTCGATGAGCAGGCGACGAGAATCCTTTCTGGAGCCGGCCAAAGGGGCCGGTCTGCACCTGGACGCTGTGCATCGGCTGGCCCTCGAGGTTGCACCCGCGCGCGCCCTCTGGGCATGTCACAGTGTCCACCTCACCTCTCTCCGCGACGAGCCAGGCCACGCCGGTCGCCAATGCGCCTTCCTCGGACAGCCCGCTGCCACAGCACGGGGGGGAGGAGGGAGAGGACATGAGGGAGGAGCGAGAGGGTCAGGGAGCAAAAGGGAGGAAGAATCAGGACGCACTACATCCCCAGACGAACTCCGAATAGTTACCCAATTGAAGCGTTTCCAACTTGAGCCGAGTGTGGGCCCACCGCACCGTAGAAATCCGTGGCCAGAGCAGCCACTCGAGCTGCCCTGAGGCTCGCGGTGAAATCGAACGCAGTATGCACATCGACCCCGTCTCTGTCCCGGAGGGAGAGGAGGAGTAGTGGGGGAGACAAGAGAGGGCGGGGAGGCATGGAGCTCTCCTGAATACGTACGTTGCCCATGTGGTTCGGAGGATGTTGCGCTGCGCATACTTCTTGAAGGAACGGCCGGAGGCTGCGTTGCACACTTCCTGCCCAGCCAAGGCACCAATGCCTCCGCACCCCAGCTGCTCCTGCATCTCATCCTGGTTCTCCGCCTCCTGACACTGACACAGCTGGAATTCGAATCCAAGGTAGTATGCCGCCATCCTCCCCGTCTCCTCATCTACCTCCTCCCCCTCCTCCCGGGCTAGACAAAGATAGATTGCTGACGCAACGGGCACGAAGAACTCAGGGCTGCGGAGTCGCGTCCTGAGTATGTATGGGCCGCCGCAACTCTGTGAAAGTGCTCTGGGACGCTCTGGGCCAGTTCATTCGTAACATTATACGGCTGCCTGACTGTACCCCGAAGAGCCCGAACCTCTGACGTCACGACGCTGGCCACGAAGGCGCTCGGCCAAATCCCCGAACATTGTTGCACCGCGGGTCTTTTTCATGATGGCCCCGGGCCCCAATACACGGCCGCCTCGGATCCCGAAGCCGCCGAACAAGACGCCCGTTGGGACAATTGCTTGCGGCGCATGACGTCTGAGATCAGAAGATGTGCTTGACTCCTGAAAGTTGCGCTGCGCGAGGTTTGAAACACATGTTGGTAGGTAGTGTGTGTGTGTGTGTGGGTGTGGTCTGAATCTCCCAACCCGCCAAACAAGAAGACGCCACAAACACTACTTCCCTAAGCCTCTCTAGAGACGTACGTCAGCACGATGAACACATTACCCAAGAAACATATCAAGGATGAAGGCCGTCCTCAGAATTTGGGGGAAGGGGGTCTCCCACTGACAGGCACTCGGGCGAAGGGTTAGTTGCGTGTCTAGGCGGCCTGGTTGTGTCGAACTCGTTTCGGGGACCCTTGCCTCCGACCTCCCGACCACAGGCGGCGGCCTTGGGTTGCCCCATCCGACCCCTTTCTGGCCCAGCTTCCATACCAAATACATGTTGACGGCCCTGGGGCCCGGATCGGCCCCCCCATCGGCCGACATCGAGAAAACCTTTCCAGCGCGATGTGTTCAACCCTGAGAAAGTCGACCCCCCCTTTCGCGTGCCAGTCCACGGGCATAAGGCCAGACCGCACGCCGCCCCCAAGGCATGCGCAGGAACAGGACATACAACACACATGCGCACGCACACGCAAACGTTTTTTGGCGTCGCGGCCCTGCGCGCAACGACACGGTGGAAAAGGTAGACAAACAAGAAACGCGCGGACTAGACACACCCAAAACCTGAACGACCGCCTTAGGATTCGTAGCCGCCGGCAACCATAATCCATGAGGGCGTGGAGGGCAAATAGGGCGATGGGTAGACAGAGATACGGCGCGATGGAGGTGACGTAAGCCAACCGGACTTGCAGGCGGGGGGGCGAGCAAGCAACGCAAAACGACCAGGAAACCGATGCCGACCTGGAAGCCCACGAAGGGCGCGGGGGACGCGAGCCTACGGGGGGCGGGTGCCAGCGCCAGCCAAGGCAGGAAGGGCGCGAGAAGCAATGACGTCGAAACAGACCTGGCAGTGACGGCGGCGACGGGCCGCAAAGGGGGCCGGCAGCAACGCTGCGGCACCAGCCAACCAGGCGGCAGGCTGCAGAAAAGGCGGCGGCCGGGAACGGGTCCAGCGCGGGCTGGACAAGACAACCGTCCGCGAGGAGGGACATGGTGGGCCAGAGAGAGGGCGCGCTGAAGCCAGCTTGGGGGCGCGAAGGCGGAGAGGCCAACGGGGCGGCAGCAGGAGAGCGAGGCGCTACAGGAAAGGGGTGGCACAGGAGAGCGCGAGCTCGCATGAGTGTCCACGCCGAGGCAGCCTGGCTACTGCGCCGGGAGACGGCCCGGAACTATGACGCGCAGAGAGCAAAAAAAACACCTCGCAAGAGAGAGGCGAGGCCCAGCCCGTTCACCGAGTCCTCAACGCCCGCGCACCACCCGCGGGGGAAGGCCGCCCAAAAGGGACATGGGAAGCAGGCGGCCGCCGGGGCCAGCGGGCGGCGCCCCAGGGGGAGCGGGCCAGCCACCCGCGGGGGCCAGGGAAGGGCAGGCCCCAGGGGCAGCCCGCGAAAATCCCCCCCGCCCGCGGGAAGTGGGCCGCGAGCTCATCCGAATGGCACATGGTGACTGGACAACTGAATATAGGAGATCCGAAGATGCCCCCGTCGCGCGCGAGCTCCGACGCGAAAGCGCGCTCGGCTTCGCGCTTCATTTCGGCGCAAGTCTGGGGGCGCGCCCGTTCGAATCCCTCGACGAACGCCTCTCTGCAAGACAGGCTTCTCCCGCTGGGAAGCGCGGCTGGACAACTCCCCCCAAGCGCTGGGCTGCCCCGCGGCGCTTCGAACCTCGCCGGGCCGCCCAGGTATGCGACGAGGGGCCGTGGCAGCGCCTGCGCCGCGACTGTCTGGGAAGCCCGACGCAGGCGCGCACGGTGCAGGACTTGCCCCGCGGCCGAAGAAGCGCCCCAGGAACGATCGGAGGGCGAGGCGCTCGCCAAGGTCGGCGCAGGAGGAGCCGCGCCTGCGAGGCGGGAAGCAGGCCGCGCGAGGGGGCGAGGCTACGGGCGCCCGCGCTGCGCAGCCTCTGGGCGGGCGCCCCGCTCCGGGCCGGCGCCCCGCTCCGGGCCGGCACCGGCGGCGGAGCGGGGGGCGAGGCCCCGGTCGCCCCTCGACCAGGGCCCCGCGCGCGGCAGAGCGGGAGCCGCTGCGGGCGGCCAGCGCGCGCGCGGGGGAGTGCAGGGGGTCGCGGCTGGGCGCCACCCGGGATGGCGAATGCAGCAGGGATTGGGCCAACGCGCAATTGGGGCGCGACGGCAAAATTGACGAGGAGGCCGCGGAGGGCCTCGCCGCGGAGGCCCCTCATGAGGAGCCGTCGCGCGAGATCGAAGGGGCGCTCTGCAGCGCCCCCCCCCCCCCCGGGGGGTAGCGCGCCCCGACGACGGCGAGAACCCGCCTCCGAAGCTCGCCGCACTGCCGCCAGGGAAATTTGGCGGGGCCAGCGAGGCATGGGCCGGCGGGAGGGGGGGCCGAGTAGAACAGGGCCAGCGCCGACAGGGGCCCGGGGAGCAGGGGCGCCGCCGGCGCCGGGGCATCCCGCCAGTGGGAGCAAACCTGTTGCAAGGCAGGGCCCGCGCAGATCGCTGTCCAGGGTCGCCGAGTGCCTGGCCCAGGCCAACGCCAAGGCCGGCAACGGAGGCAGAGCGGGCTTTGGCGGGCGCATGCGGGGCGGGGGCCGGGTAGCTGGCCGCCCGACGTCGCCCCTGCCCCCCTGCTGGGGGGGTCTAGCAGGTCGCGCGCGCGTGGAGCAGCAGGAAGGAAAGGGGGGGCATCGGGCGCGGGCCCATCCTGAGGCCGGGGGCCTGCGGCAGCAACGTCGCCGCCGTGCTGGCGGGCGAGGCGCGCCTGGCAGACGGTGGAGTGACCCGCGGGTTCGTCGAGCAGGAGGGGTGGGCGGCGCTCGCTGAAGACGCCGAGGGCACGGTCGTCGTTGTTCACGCGTCCCAGGCATGCTCGGCAATTGCCACCTGCTGCGCGGGGTCGTCGAGAGAGCGCTCGCCGGGCGCGTGCATGACGAAGCGGACGATGGCCTTGAGGCGCCCCTCCATTGCGGCGGTGCGAATGTCCGCCAAGCCGTCGATCGAGGCATTGGAATGGGCGCCCGCATCGTTTCGAAAAGGACTGCCGTTGACGCCGCGGGGGGCAGCGAGGCTGGGAGGTACTCCAGCGTAGTCGCCGGCGCCTCTAAAGTCGCCCACAGGGAAATCAAAATCACTAATCTTCCGCAGAGCAGCCATGCCGAACAGGCAGCGCGCGAGCTCTGCCGAGCGGCGGCCAGGGGGGCGCGCGGCAGCGGCCAGGGACGAGCGGGGGAGAGCAAGCGGCGAGCCAAACTGGGAGGGGGCAGTGGCATGGAGGGGGCAGTGGCAGGTGGCGCTTGTAAGGAACCTGCACGGGGATGCGCCCACTGGCACTGCATATAGCCCTGCCGCTAGCGAACGCGCGTGGCTTCCTGATCGACGAACTCCCCTGGCACCTCACATTCTGAGCACGGGCGCAGGTCCAGGTGCCGGAGAAACGCCAAGTGCCGGAGGGCGAGGCAGACATTGCCGGCGTCGCAGCCGGGCAAGGGGCGAGGATCCCGGACCAGCTGGGGGACCACTCCCCGTCGACTGCGCCCGCGGCAGGGGGGGGGGGGGCGGATGGGGGCGAAGCTGGAGATAGCAGGCGAGGCCATGGGAGAAAGGCAGGGCCCTCGGCCGCCTTGCCCGGCCAGCGCTTCAGCTCCTCGCTGGTTGTGGTCCACGGGCGGGGACCGTCGCAGGTGCGCGAGCGAGGTTTTGGGCCGCCGCTCGGCGAGGGCAGCGCTCGGCAGGTAGGCCCTGGGAAGCTGCATATATGGAGTGCCCTCCTGGACAGCGAGGAGCTGAAGGGGTGCCCGCCTTAAGGCGGCGGACCGGGAGGGCGCTGCCACGCTGCCAGCTGGCGCAAGTGCCACGTCGGGCCTGTCCCCCATACAGGGGGATTTTCGACGAAAAACAAAGAATACACAAAAACTAATCAAAGACCTTTTTGGGGTATGTTTTGGGTATTTCCATTTTTTCGTTGAGAATCCCCCTGTGGGGGGGCGCGCCCGACACGGCACAAGTGGCTCGCGCGATCCGCAAACTCTGCGATAGAGCAGAGCTCGGCGCGGGCGCGGGCCTGGGGCTCGGCGGAGTTCCACGCGGCAACGCAACCGCGCCGTGCCAGCGAGAGGGCGACGCAGACATGGCGGGGGCCGTCGGGATGCCCGAGAACGCGCGTAAAAGACTATGACTAGATCAGCTTCGCCCCCTGCGTCTGTTCGATCGCGCGAAACCGAGCGGCGGGCCGGCCCCCCATCATCTGCAGCAGAAAACGAGCCTCGGACAGGGAAGAGCGCGTCCGGCGGCAAGGCGCGGGGGGGCCGAGGGAGCCGGGGCCGGAATCGCCGCGCGGCGCGGGCGACCTGGAGCTACGAGGGGCGAAGGCGGCGACGGATGCGTCGGGCGGGGGCGCGGGGGCACCGCCGCTGAGAAGGTCGCGGGCGGCCCTGGCCTCGGCTGAGTTGCAGAGGCCAGTCCCGCGCGCGTACTCGACAGACGCGCGCGCGGGAGCAGAATGCGGCCCGCGTCGCCGACGGGGCGCGCGATGGAG